GTGTTACCATTAAAAATTCGAAAAAAAACTGCATATTTAATACTTCTGTCCCCCTCACCTCATAATGTGGAGGGGGGATTTCTAGCAAATAATTCAAATATTTTGAAAGCTTTACTTTTGCTGTCTAATAAATGTCCCTTCTTGGGTTCGTAGCATTTGTGGCACGTTGTGTTCGGTCTTGGTGGTTGTTTGTTGTTCGGTTGGATGGATAGATGGATGCTTGGTTGGTTGGTTGGTTGTGGTCTCCAAATGCTACTTTTATTGTCTATTGCACGGAGTGTTACACAAAAAATTGTGACATTTTGAAAAATGATGTTGTGGAAAATTGCAATTAATTTTTTTTTTAGATTTTTATAAATGGGGAATAAGGGAGCACCAAAGGGTCATACGATGAAAAAATCAGGCCTTCCTATGGAAAATCGATAAGGAATCTATTAGGGTTCTTATATATATCCATTAAATCATTCGTCGGATTTCTTCTCTTTTGAAAAGCGGGTTCTTTTATTTATGTGTTTCTTTTTTTGGCGATCTTGATGCCTTTGTTGTTAGAGAAGCTTGGATTCTGCTTATTATAATATCTTGAAGTTTTCTTGTTAGAAGTTCTTAAGGTGCATTTACTTTTTTAATAACAAGGTTCCCTTTTTGGAAAAACTATAGATCTTCATATCGTTAGAACTTCTGGTCATCATTTTAAGGCATATTTAAGTTCTGTTTTTAGAAGACTTGAAAGAACTATAGGCATTCTTATTGAACGAATTTTGGAATTCCAATTAGGAGTGTTTTAAGGCTTCCTATTAGAAGATTTAAAGGATTTCTTTAGGGAACATATGACTTCTTATTGAACTTATTTTAGATATTCTCATTAGAAGTGCTTTAAGTCTTATTATTATGAGATCTTAAGGTTTTCTCATTAGAATAGCTCTAAGTCTTCTTATTAGAAGAATATAGATCTTCTTATTAGAAGTGTTCTAAGTCTTCTTATTAGAAGAGTTCTACGTTTTCTTATTAGAAGAGTTCTAAGTCTTCTTAATAGGAGAGTTCCAAGCCTTCTTATTAGAAGAGTTCTAAGACTTCTTATTAGAGGAGTTCTCCGTCTTTTTATTAGAAGAGTTCTAAGTTTTATTAAAAGTCTTCTTAAGTCTTCTTATTGGAAGAATTCTAAGTAAGAGTTCCAAGTCTTTTTATTAGAAGAATTCTAAGTCTTCTTATTGGAAAAAATTTAGGTCACTAGCAGAGCATCTTTTCACTAGCATCTTATCATTAGAAAGCTTAAGTTCTTACCAGAAGCACTTAGTATATTCATATTAGAAGAACTGTAGGTTTCCTTATTAGAATAGCTTGAGTACTCCTTACTAGAATAGCCTGAGCTATTCTTATTAGAATAACCGTAGGTTATGAGTTCTTATTAGAATATTTTCCTCATTAGAAGAGGTCTTATAGTTAGAAAAGAAAAAAGGTGTTCTTATTGGAATAGATTGAGATTTTCTTATCGGAAGATCTTTAGGTTTTCATATCGGAAGATCCTTAGTTATTTTTATTGGAAGAGATTGAGTCTTCATGTTCGAAAACTTGAGGTTTTCTTATTGCAAGAGCGTGAGAGTATGTATTTTTATTAGAGGAGTGGCAAGTCTTCTTAGAAGATTTGAGATTTGATGTTTTCTTATTTGAAGAGTTCGAGAATATATCGTCTTATTAGAAGGGTGAAAAGTTTTGTTATTAGAATAGTGTTGTATGAGAAAAGCTAACGTACTCTAAGTATTTTTGTTGGAAGAACTAGAAGTCTACTTATTTGAGAAGCAGGTATAAGTGTACAGATATTTTTATTGAAAGAGTTTTGGTTCTTCTTATAAGAAATGCTGAATTTTTTCATATTGAAAAATCTACATGTTTTCCTAATGGCAGATCGAAAGGGGTTCCTATTTGAATATTAGAAGATTTTCTCATTAGAAGAGCGATAAAGTTTTCCTATTACAAAAACTTCAGGATTTTAGGTATTCTTATTGGGAGAAGTCTCCCTAATCGAAGATATGACTATTATAATAAGAAAATCTATTAGAGTAGTCGAGGGTCTTCTTATAAGAAATTCATAAGATTTTCATATTAGAATTACTCTCGAAAGGCAAAAAAAAGTACTTCAGTTTGTCTTATTGGAAAAAACAATTAGTATTCTATTAGAAGTGCCATGGGCCGACTTTTGAATTAGATATAGAAAACTCAAGTCTTTCTTATTAGAACTGATCAAGAACTCAAATTTATTACATTATAAATAGTATTTTAACTAGAATGCATTTTGATTTTCTTATTAGAAACGTTATTATTCATATTATTAGTATAGTTTAAGGGTTCTTATCAGAATATTTGTAAAGGTCCTTACTGAAAGACCTTTAGATATTCTTGTTAGAAGAACGTAAGGTATTTTTATTAAAAACTTTCTTTATTTTCATATAGAAGGTCAAATATATACCTCCACATTTTAAAATTTCTGCTTAATATATTCCACAACAAATATTTTCCTCCAACCCCTAAAAGTATGCAATTATTTTCATTTAATATCGCTTTAAGTTAAACAGAGTAAAATATGTTGCTTTAATTTTATTTTGCTTACATCTCCCTGTCAAGGACATTCTGCATGTTGATTTTAGCTATCACCTACTAACCTTGCGTATCTCATATCCTTATCTGTACAACTTTGGTTCATCTTAAACCATAGGGACTTTTTAAATATTAACTTTCATCGTAAAATATATTCTCACATACACAGACAGACAAACATATTATTATCACTACGAATGGTTAAGGGAATGTTGAGTTAAAATATAATAGTGGGGAATAACAGAAAGTGAAATGTGACCTTGCGAGTGAGCTGGAGGGAAGATGAAGAAAATTGTTTTGTGGAATAAAAAAATGAAAGGAGCAAATATGTGGAGAGATACTACTTTAAGGCGTTGGATTTATTTTGGGGAATAAAGAAAAATGTGAAACATTTCAAATTAATGGAAATTATTACTAAAATAAAAAAAAACACGCCTCTATTGGTCATTGAAAAAATCCATGGGTCTAATAGTCATTGAAAAAATATTTTTAAAAAATCTAATAGTCATTGAAAAAAATATTTTTAAAAATATTTTTAATAAACTTTAAAAAAGCAAGGCTTCTGAAAGACCCTGTAAAAATATTTTAAAAAAATCAACGTTCTTATAGTCGTTATTTTTTTGAGTCAATAAAACAATATTTTTAAATAATAAAAAATAGCCATTAAAAAATAATTTATTTTAAATTGTTGGAAAAAATAATTCTAATTTATTTACCCCCCTCCCTCTATGGTTTTACTTTTATTTACTCCTGGGACATTTGACACTTGCAAGCACTTAACTGGATACTGTTTCCTGTCAAGTTAATCCCTGTTCTGTTAATGTTAATTGACTTTCATTATGTTAAGTAATCTGAATAAAAGGGTTGATTTCAAAATCGTTCCCCTCACCTCCCACCACCACCTCCATCATAGCATTAATTTCTCATACAAATGGAATTTAAAATTTCAACAATGTAAAATGTTTGTAGCTCGGTATGGAACGGGTTGGTTGGTTTGTTATTCAAAAAATCGACTGTGAGGATATTCGTACATACATATTAATCCCAAATGTAAACAAATGACAAAAAACAATGTCTGCTAAATGGAATTTATCGCTAAACAAAAACAAATAAGTTGGAAAAAAGAATGTAAACAATAAATATTATTATTAAGTCGAATTAAATTATGGTAATGGAGGTTGGATGGTGGAGCTGGAGTTGAGAGTTGGAGGTTAATGGGAAAGGGTTTTTAAGGCAAATAAATATTTGCGGAGCTCCCACATATTTTGTATATACCTCAGCATAAGGTGGGGAGGGTATAGAGGATTAGAGAATTTTCAAACCGATTTTTAGGGAGTTGTTATCATTAACAAAATTCCGAAGCATTCAAATTGAGACCAAATACAACGCTCCAAGTCAGAGACTATTATAAATTTGCTTTGGGAACCTTAAAAATATTTTTTTTAAAGATCCACGCCTTGTTGGGAACCTTAAAAATATTTTTTTAAAAGATCCACGCCTTGTTGGGAACCTTAAAAATATTTTTTTAAAAGATCCACGCCTTGTTGGGAACCTTAAAAATATTTTTTTAAAAGATCCACGCCTTGTTGGGAACCTTAAAAATAATCCACGCCTTGTTGGGAACCTTAAAAATATTTTTTTAAAAATACGCCTTGTTTTAAAAATATTTTTTTAATAGAACCTTAAAAATATTTTTTAATAAATCCACGCCTTGTTGGGAACTTTAAAAATAACTTTTAATAAATCCACGCCTTGTTGAGAACTTTAAAAATATTTTGTAATAAAAAATACAAATCTCTTGTTGGGAACCTTAAAACATAGATCCACGCCTTGTTGGGAGAGATCCACGCCTTGTTGGGAGTCTTAAAAGTATTTTTTAATAGATCCACGCCTTGTTGGGAATTTTAAATATATTTTTTAATAAATCCACGCCACGTTAGGAACCTTAAAATATCCACGCCTTGTTGGGAACCATAAAAATATCTTTTAATAAATCCACTCTTTGTTGGGAACTTGAAAAATAAATTAAATTACTTTAGGAAAGGCCTAAAAATATGCAACACCGACTTCGATTATGGTATTAGAGAACTTTGAAGCCTATTTATAGGGAGTTGTTATCAAAATTCCTAAATATTCAGATCCACGCCTTTTTGGAACCTTAAAAATATCCTTTAATAAATCCACTCTTTGTTGGGAACTTTAAAAATAAATAACGCCTTGTTGGAAACCTTAAAATAACCTTGTTGGTAGTTTAATTTTAAAAACACTGGTAGTTTAATTTTAGAAAATTGAGGACTTTGAAAATTCCAATTTTTTTTTTAATTTTTTATTAAAAACTCCTAAATGTTGTACCAAATTGCCTAATTCCCTCTCTCTCTCTCTCTCTCTCTCTCTTTGCTTCTTTTCAGATCGCACCAACAATACCGATCCCGTTGAGGTATGTCGCAACTGTCCACCCAACTATGAGGTAGAATCTTTACCCTCCTACACAATAGTATCGGGTTTACCCACCTACGATGATGCAATTGAAGAGTTCCGCAAAGCGGGCATAATACTCACTCCGCCTGTGCCGATAATAAAAATTTTCGAATCGAAAGATTCCAAAGATATACTCAATATTGAAAATGGCAACAGCAATGGAGATGGTGATAATATATCGATAAATTCCACCAATACCTGTACATGTGGTGCGAACAATAATAATGCGAACCAACAAAGCAATATTAACATTCCGACAAATATTAGTACTAACAATTTGCTATTGACACCCACAAATAGTACCCCATTTATTGAATTGACACCGGAACAGTTGGCCCATTTATCACAGAAGAGATTGTCGCTGCAAATTGCATTTCCCCAGGTGCCGCAGGCACCTTTGGTTGGACAATTCCGTCGTCATTCAAGGCCACGCATTGATATGCGTAATAATTTGCTGAGATCACGTATTGCAAATATCCCCGCCTTCGAGGGTCTACCAGAAATACATCGCAGCTCGTCGACTTTTTCGCTAGCCAATGAGCGGAATCTAAATATGGCTTTACATATGCAACATCGTGGTTCCTTGTTTTAGTGGCTTTTTTGTTATTAATATTATTTACCTGAAATAATTTTAATTTTTTTCTTATTACAAAAAATATTTTTTTATTTATAAGAGTGTGTGTGTGTGAGTGTTTTAATTTGTAGTTAATGAGTTTTTATTAATTGTAAATATTATATATTTAATATATTTAATTTTTTGTTTCGAACTTTAGAAATAAGTTAAAAAAAAATGATTAAAAAATACAAACCTCCATGGACGAGGGAAATGAAAATCAAAATAATTATTTTTTCCTTTGTATTATATTTGTAAGGGCCTAAACATAGACAATACAGATTTCAATGATAGGATTAGAGATATTTATAGCCTATTTTTGAGAAGTTATAATTTGCCAAAATCGGAAACATGGCGACGCTCCAATTCATAAACTATTAGCATTTTGAGATAAAATTATAAAAATCTACCTTAAATAATCAAGCAAAAATGCTATACATAAGCCCCTAAAAGTATGCAATCATGTTCCAAATATACCGAAATTTAGGACGTGCCGTTATGTGGATGCTACCCTAAGGACTGGGCCAATATTTATAATTTTTGTTAAGAAAAATTCTTACCTAAGGAGAATCTAAAATACTAAATTAAAGCCAATTTAGTCGAAAAAAACGTGACCAAAATATATTTGGAAAATTTTGGGAAAAAGAGCCGATAGGAAATAAACGAGAAAGTTTGGCATTCGCTTTAGACAATTTTCATTATTAATTTATGCAACTGTAATTGTTTTCGGTTGATCACGTAACAAAATAATCATTTAATTCTTAGGAAACCCACATGATCGTGTGTCCCTTTTTATTAAATACAGGAAAATTGAACCCAATTTTATTCAATTCAGGTAGTCACTTGGTGTGCCTTTGCACAAATAAAACAAAACCTGAATGGTTATCTTTCGAACATAACACAACATAGAACATTCCTTGGATTGTTATCTATCGCCACAGGAGACCACTTAAGTGACCTTTCAGGCAATGCGACAATTCCTTCCTTTCACTTTCATATGCAAGTGTAAGACTGTCTGCTTCAAGAGGCTCAACTAACATATATATGGGAAGCATACAGGCATACATACATACACACACAAACATACAACAACATAATTCTAAGGACATTTTTGTTTTCGTCTTGTTAAGAAGGACATTTAGAAATAGCAAAACGGTGTGTGTCCACGATAAGCTTTTAAGGTTTTATAGTAGCAGTCGTTTATGGTGCTTAAAGCTTTAATACGAAGTTACGAATACATTTGTGGGAATGGTGAATAAAAATCAATTATGGGGTGATTTTTTTTATACCATAAGAAAGTTAAATTTTCCGAAAAAATGCATAATATTGGGATTCCGACCGATTGACTCAAAGAAGACCATCTTATATACGACCAGTAAGTCTTTTCATAGAAGACCAGATGGTTTTTTAAAGACCTGAAGTTCTTCTCTTTATTTTCTTATAAAGAACCAAGAGCTCTCCTTATTAAACATCCGAATACCTTTAGGAGTACAGAATATATTCTTATGGAAGTCCAGAAGTTATTCTCATGTCCTTAGGTCCCTCTGTCTTTTTCTATAGAGAAAGATCTCCTCAGGTCCCTCTGAGGTGTCTTTTTCTATAGAAAAATCTCCTCATGTCCATCTGAGGTGTTTTTTCCATATAGAAAAATCTCCTCAGGTCCCTCTGAGGTGTTTTTTTTCATATAGAAAAATCTCCTCAGGTCCCTCTAAGGTGAATTTTGTTATAGAAAAATCTCCTCAGGTCCATCTGATGTGTCTTTTTCTATAGAAAAATCTCCTCAGATCCCTCTGAGGTATTTTTTCCATACAAAAATCTCCTCAGGTCCCTCTTAGGTGTCTTTTTCTATAGAAAAATGTCCTCAGGTCCCTCTGAGGTGTATTTTTCTATAGAAAAATCTCCTCCTGTCCATCTGAGGTGTTTTTTCCATATAGAAAAATATCCTCATGTCCCTCTAAGGTGAATTTAGCTATAGAAACATCTCCTCAGGTCCCTCTGAGGTGCATTTTTCTATAGAAAAACATCTTCTCAGGCCCCTCTGAGGTGTATTTTTTTATAGAAAAACATCTCCTCAGGCCCATCTGAGGTGTGTTTTTCCATATAGAAAAATCTTCTCCCTCTGAGTTGTCCTTTTCTATAGAAAAATCTCCTCAGGTCCCTCTAAGGTGAATTTTGCTATAGAAAAATCTCCTCAGGTGCCCCTGAGGTGTCTTTTTCTATAGAAAAATTTCCTCAGGTCCCTCTGAGGTATCTTTTCCAGGTCCATCTGAGGTGTATTTTTCTATAGAAAAATCTCCTATCATTTCTATAGAAATGTCTTCTCTTAGCAGAATCCGAGGTGTTCTCCTAAAAGACCAAAAGGTTTTCAGATGGACCATAAAACCATAAGGTATTCTGACAGAAGACCTGAAGGTCTATTCACAGAAGACCTGAAGATCCATTCATAGACGAACTGAAGGTTTTTTTATAGAATAACAAAAAGACCAGGAAGTATTCTCAATGAAGTCTAGAGGGCCTTCTTATAGAAGGTCTTCTATTGGAGGCTCGAAGGTCTTCCATTGGAGGCCCGAAGGTCTTCTCATAGAAGAGCCGAAGGTCTTCTCATAGAATACCCGAAGGTCTTCTCATAGAATACCAGAAAGTCTTCTCATAGAAGACCATAAGGTCTTCCTCTAGAAAACCAGAAGGTCTTCTCCAAAATGACCAGAAGGTCTTCTCCTAGAAGACCAGAAGTTCTTCTCCTAGAAGACCAGAAGTTCTTCTCCTAGAAAACCAGAAGGTCTTCTCCTAGAAGACCAGAAGGTCTTCTCATAGAAGACCAGAAAGTGTTCCCATAAAAAAACAAGAAAGACTTCTCAAAGAAGACCAGAAGGTCTTCCCCTAGAAAACCAAAGAGTCTTCTCATAGAAGATAAGGAGGTCTTCTCCTAGAAGACCTGAAGGTCTGCTCATAAATGACCAGAAAGTTTTCTCATAGAAGACCAGAATGTGTTCTCATAAAGGACCAGAAGGTGTTTTCATAGAAGACCAGGGGGTCTTCTCATAAGAGACCAGGATGTCTTCTCATAGAAGACCTCCTGGTCTCAAAAGATCTTTCTATAGAATACCAGGAGGTCTTTTATTGAAGACCAGAATGTATTTCTATAGAATACCTGGAGGTCTTGTCATTGAGGACTAGAAGGTATTTTTATAGAATACCAAGAGAACTTGTCATGGAAGACCAAGATGCAAATCTGAATTTCTTCTTTAAAAAAACCCTTTTCTTCTTAACCTGGTTAGTTCCCACCACATCATCAAAAGTTTTTTCTTTAATGAGTTTATTACACTCCAACAACAATTACAGCACCACCACACCAACAACAACAAAGTATTATCCTTATAATTTATTATTTGCTATTTAAATTCTTTGTGGCTAATTTTAGTCCCACCAGTAAACACCGAGCCCCTGACTAGTAAAGCTGTCGAAGCTAAGCGAACCAAACCAGATAAGCAAGTTAATTGTTCTAATTTGACTTATAATCAAAACAAAGACAAATACAACAATAGCCATAGTAAATCCAGCAAGAACAACAACAACGACACAAACAACAATTGGTATGCATGCAACAACTTGCCTCATAATTTGTTGTACTGCTACTACTGACGTGTCCTTTTTTGGCCCGGTAGAGCGCTAGACAATGATTATTCAATTCATCTGCGAGTGGTAAAACAAACGAACCGCTTACCTCTACCTGTCGCATTTTTTTCTTTCATTCTCGCATTCGCTGTGACGCGTTGTTACCTCTATGTTCGTTCGGTTGGTCAGTCGGTGGGTCAATCGTGTCACATTACCCGGTTGTGGCGGTTTACAAAAGAAGTGTTTGCATTAAAAAGAGGGAAAATTGGTAAAATGAAAATAAATGTGCAAAAGAAATATTGAAATAAATGAAAAGTATAAATAAAATATATTAATACTGTGTAAAATAAATACTACAATAATATGTGTTGAATGTGTTTTAAATCACAATAAGCTCAACCGTAAGACCCTACAAAATTATAAAAGAAACAGTTTGAGAATAAAATCGCTGGTCTATACTTTTCTTCAGGAAACGTGGTTTTCTTATAGAAGGAAGTCCAAAGGGTCATCATGGAGTAAAGCAAGATGTGTTCTTACATGCTAAACAATATACTGGACAGTAAGAAACTCCCAAAATAAATATAAAAATATTCTTCGACAATTAAATCGCTGGTCTAAATTTGTTATCGAAAGTCCAAGGGAGAAACTAGATGAATTAAATATATGCTGATAAAAATGAGCATAGGATTACCTAAATATTTTAGCTAGAATACGTTTTGTATTAAGATGTTCCGCACATAATATATGTTTATAAAGCTCTAACAGGAATCGAATCATTATGTATTTCATAGACAGTAGAAATTCTATTGATCGGGACGAAACCAAAGACTGTGGAGTTGTTTGGAGCCGGACTTTTATATTTGGTACTAGCATATACCCGCAACTTTGTTAGCGAATGTGGGAAATATTTAAACATGTATTAACATATAACTTTATTTTCACAGAAAACTGCATATTTCAGAAAAAACTAAACAATCCACACATTTATATCGACCATAAATTAAATTTGAATACCATTTAGTACCAAATTTCATGATTCGAGCTCAAAAGGTTCACCCAAATCCAAATTTTACCAAATTTATTTCAATTTAGCACACATTATTTCCATAAGTACCCTCGTCAATAATCCAACAAAACTTCGTGCATACCCCGATCGTACACCCCCACAATGATTGAAATTCAAATTTCAGGATTCCAACTCTATTGGTTCTCCCACAATTTAAACTGTACCAAATTTAGTACACAGTAGTACGAATTTCCAAAATCTTCTACTTAACCCAAACCTACACCCCGACAGTGATCATAAATCCAATTTCAGGATTCCAACTCTATTTGTTCACCCACAATTCAAATTGTACCAAATTTAGTACACAGTAGTACAAATTTCAAAAACGTCCTACTTACCTCAAACCTACGCCACCACAGTGATCCTAAATCCAAAATTCAGAATTCCAACTCTATCATTTCACAGTAGTGTTAATTTCCAAAACTTCCTACATACCCCAGTCCCACACCTCCACAGTGATCCCAAATCCAAGTTTCAGGATTCCAACTCTATTTGTTCACCCACAATTCAAATTGCACCAAATTTAGTATACAGTAGTACGAATTTCCAAAATCTCCTTCTTACCCCAAACTAGACCCCTCAGTGATCCTTAATACAAGTTTCAGGATTCCAACTCTGTGGCTTGACCCTCAATTTAAATTGTACCAAATTTAGTACACAGTAGTACGAATTACCAAAACTTCCTATTTAACCCAAACCTTCACCCCGACAGTGATCCTGAATCCAAGTTTCAGGATTCCAACTCTGTGGATTCACCCACAATTTAAATTGTACCAAATTTAGTATGAATTACCAAAACTTCCTACATATCTTGGTCTTACACCTAAACAGTGATTCTGACTAAAAATTCAAATTGTACCAAATTTAGTACCCATAAGTATTAATTTATAAAACTGAATCCTGACCCCAATCCTACACCCCTACAGTGATCGTGACTACAAATTTCATTGTTCCCGCTCTATCGGTTCATTGTAAATCCAAATTGTACCAATTATAGTACGATTTAGTACTTTTCGTACAAATACGTATCAAATTTCCAAAACTACGTACATATCTCAATCGTCCCCTCTGACGGTAATATTAATTTTAAATTTCAGGATTCCAGCTCGATTTGTATCTCCAAATTAAATTTGTACCAAATATAGTGCCATATACTACTTTTCGTACACATGAGTACATGCTTTCAAAATCATCTCCTTAAATAGACCCTACATCTCAACCCTAATTCACAATCCAAATTTCGAGTTTTTAGCTCTATCCATTCACATGCTATGAAATTGTAACAAATTTAGTACATTTTAGTACTTTTCGCATACTTGTAGTTCGAATGTCCAAACAACCCTTTGGTTTATCTATTGTACACTCCATCAGTGACCCTCATTTAAAATTTAAGAGTTCTAGCTCCACAGGTTCGCCAAAAACAACTGGTATCACATTTATTTAGATCCTTGAAATTTTTTTTCTAATCTACCCTTCTATAAGTCCATGAAAAATATTTTTAAAAAATATATGCCTTATAGAAAATATTTTTTAAAAAATCTACACCTTGTATAGGTCGTTTGGAAAGTATTTTTAAAAATTCTTTACAATCTATTGGCATGTTATGAAATAGTTGACCATTCGATTTCATCCTTTATGTAATAAAAAAAGTAAACCGTGGCATAACATGACGCCCGCACTCACACCCACTCATATGAGACGACTGGTCCGTGGTTCTCAATCTCAAGTGGTCTTAGTTGTGCGCCAATAATTCTAAAATAATAAAAAATATGGTATCGAATTCGTTAGGCTTGACAAAAATTATGTTTTGTGTGGCAAAAGTCGTTAAATTGTTGCCTTTGTTTACACTACAAAATAACCACAATGTCCATCCCATGCAACCGACATTTCCCGACAGAATCGAATCCGCGTGAAGTTAGCATAAGTACCCACACACCAGACTACACACACATGGATAATATTGAGTGTGCTGGTGTCCAAGCCTTTTGCCTACTTCTCAAGTGCATTACATAAATATGTATGCATTTCCATATATATGTGTGTGTCCCTATGTGTATATGTGTCCCTATCCACATGTGTGTGTGTAGTCCGTCAAATGTCTTCTTCATCCGATTCTGAAATGAGAATTTTTTATGTTGTATTTCACCACAGATCTAATTGAGAGTCCGTAAGAGTAACAACGGCCGGCTAACCCGTCAGTCACCCTGCCAGCCAGCCAGCGGCGCACATAACTCAAAATCAAAAAAAATAGCATTAATTTTTTTGGAATTTGTTATTGTGTATTTTTCGTTGTTGTTGCTATTTTATATTCGCAATATTTATTATTTTCTGTTTGTTTTTAATGATAAGAATAATTCTAAAAAACTAAAATATGGATTTTTCAAAAACACACTTGGAATCTGCAGACGAAAGAGGTGACACATCGCCCACAAAGAAACCTTTAAGTTTGGAGGCAAGACACAGCATAGCCATGTGAGTAAATGGAGGATAGCCGAAAAAAACACAAAATTTGTAATTTTTGTTTTATAAAACCACAAACATTTTAATTTTTAAATTATTTTTTTTAATAATCGAAATGTTTAAAGGAAGCTGTAATTAATTTTTTGTGTGTTTTGGAATATTTATTTCGCAATGAACTTTTTCAGTTTCGGTTTTTTTTGTTCTGACTCATCGTTGCTGGTGTCAAGTTTTCGCGCGTAACCTAATGTGGACCAATCAGCGTTTTGTACAACTGACTGACTCAAGTCAATTTGTTTAAGGAAGTAAAAAAAATATGAATAGATTTATCAACAATTGCTTGAACAGCAAATAAACGATAAAACCCTAACCCAGGAATTTCTAATTCTCGTTATTATGCAAAAAGTGAATAAATCCAAAAAATACAAATGTTATAAATATACAAGGGTGCTTTTGGCATGGTTATTTTAGACAAATGTATGCTCTCTGTTCCAGACTTTGTAAATATTTGTTCTAAAATACCCGATATAATCTTCGTCCAGATGGTTGCAAGTCTCGATGTTGTGCAAAAAGTGAATAAATCAAAAATATACAAGTTAAAAACCAAGGTTTTCAAAAAAACCAAAACACAACAAAATATCAACAAAAATTCGGACCTTGACTATTTTGGGTTGTTTTATTTTTGTCAACAACGTTATCTTTGCCAAAACAAACTTCCTAAAAATTCTTGTCGTTGTTGTGCATAAAATGAACAAGTCTATTTTTCAAAAAAAAAAAAAAAAAAATATGAGAACCATCCTCCATGAGATGGATATCCTTAAAAACTCTTCGATTAACAGGCTCAGCATAGCCTTAGAATGTCCTCGCATTAGAACTCAACTGCAACAGCCTTGAGAATTAATAAAAAATCCACGCCTTACAGGGCCTTATTTAGCCTTGGAAAATTTCTTGAAAATCCAACACCATATATCGGGGCCTATGCCAAAACGTTGTCCTACATGGACAAAAACATGGAGCTATAATGGTTATTTTCTGCATAGACGTATGTTATCCTCTAACAGCTCTGAAATATGTGGCTATACTATTAAAAATACCAATAATGGAGCGGAACTTTATATGTAGACTATGTCGAAAATGTTCTGCAGAAATAGTCATTGATTTTTATACATCCACACCTTTTATAGGTCCTTGAAAACATATATATAAAAATTTGTTCGCCATCTGTAACTACAACTCCTATAGATTCATGAAATTGTTACAACCAAATGTAGACCTTTTAAGATCGCGAATGGCCAAAGCCTTCAAAATAACGAAAATGGATCAGGACACTTCCATTTGTAGCGTATTAAATGGTTAATTTTTGGACGCTTATGATCAACATCGGACGTATAAAAGTACGTGGTGAGAAATTTATCTGACAATTTAAAATAATATAATACGATACTGATTTATTGGCGCCCAACATGAGGCCCTTCAACACAATCATTCTCATAGAACTTAAGAAAAGAGTTGTTGCCCTCCAAGAAAAAAAGTAAAGTAATGTAAAACGGCATTTACATTAGAACTTTTTACCGGGTTAACCTACTTCGTGAGGATTTATTTGACATATATGCAATGAAATTGAAAATTTATACCCACTGGGTTAGCGTAATTCGGTACAATGTAAACGTACTATAATAATATCATAAAATAAAAAAATAATGTTTTATTGGCGCCCAACGAGGGGTCATGCAACACGATCATTCTATATATACCTATATAGACAAATCTCTGAAAAATATTCAACCTCCAAGTAATGAAATGTCAAACCACCGACACATTGGATGAAAAATCCGACTAAGACCTTTAAAATACCGAAAATGTTAAAAATAAAACAATTATAAAAGTACATGAAGAGAAATTTATTGGGCAATGTGAAGTATTGTAATAAAATTATGTCTATTATTGGCGCCAAAACGATTATTCTATATAAACCTATATAGGCAATTTTCTGGGAAAAAATTTTGCCCCCCCGCGAAAATATGGAACGTTAAACCGCCGCTTCGGTAGGAAAAAGTTTTCAAAGATCTATAAAGTACCGAAAATGAGGCGGGACTTTCATATGACAGTTGTGACAAAAAAGGACCATGTCATGGGTCAAAATGCGGCTAAAACTTTCCAAATCCGCGAACTTATGATCAAAATCATAAAATAAAAAATAATGTCTAATTGGCGCCCAACAAGGGGTCAGGCAACACGATTTTTCTATACAAACCTATATGGACAATTTTATAAAAAAAAAATGTTTTTCAACCTCACAAGAATCCGGAATGCCAAACCGCCGCCACTTTATTTGGAAAGACCTTAAAAAAGCCGTAAACGGCGCGGAAGCTCTATGTGGGGAGCTACATAGTCAAAACTTTGACCAATTTCGACAATTTTCTACAGCGATATTTTTCACCTTCAAGAACCCACAATGCCAAATTACAGCGACTTTGTTTAATACCTTTCAAATACCGAAAATGGCACGGACACTTCCATTAATCTCATGTCAGTTCCCCATTTTACAGCAACTTCCGAGATTTTATGATCAAACTCAATCTTATATATGGAGAGATATTAGTCTGCCAATGTCAATTAATATAATGATGTCTTAAAAATATAAAAAGGGTTTATTGGCGCCCAACAAAGGGCCATGAAACACGGTTATAAACCCACAAACACGTTTTTGCCTTCCGAAAACACGGAATATCACAGCAACGTTAGTAGAAAAGTAGCTTAATGATATCGAAAAAACCGGGACCCTTCGAATGTTCTCGAAACGAATGTTCAATTTGCAGAAGCTTCCGATAGCTTACAACCAAAGTCGGAAGTAGAAATATACATGGAGAGAAGTTAATCTGACCACTTAAAGTAATGTAATAACATCAAAAAGTTAATTGGCGCCCAACAAGGGGCCATCGAACACCACTACTCTATACCGTTAACATATTAACAACAAAATTCTTCTCGTCAGCATTTAAATTATAAAATGATCCAGACAAATTTTAATAACTTCTGCTAGGCAGAGACCCGCGCTGTATTTAGAAACTCTTAGCACCTATGTTTCTAATAGATTCCTTTCCGTTCATTTCTTGAAATTCTTGGACCAAAAATAATATGCCCTAACAGATCTATCGGAGCTCTATTATGCAGAATTGTGCTGGATATCAGTCGCTTAAAGAATTTTACGGTATAAATTCTTTTTCAGGAGAAAGTGTGCAAGTAGGGTGGGCATAGTGCGGGAGCAGTGGATGACATAAAAAGACACCACACCAGAGTTGTATTTTTCCTAATTTCGTCAACTAAGTCCACTCTACATGAACGAACTTTTTTATTTCCCTTTTTTAAGTCTCTATTTCCAAAAAAATGTGTGTAACCCTATCTTAATTCGCTTCTTCGAAAATTAAAAGTATCCTAACCTCATTTTCTCTTTTTTTCAGAGAATCTGCTCGCAAAATAAGCAAAAACATTAAATCAAGTATTTTTATGCCGGTAAGTATTTCATTTCACAGCCAGATTCCTTCCTTACCACAAAAATCGACATCTCTTCCAAATCCATTTACAGAAAATGCCGATAAGTACCCAAAAATATCCATGGATCTCAAAAACAAGTCCACCGAAAAAGCAACAACCTACGACAAATGTCAGGTCAGAAAACCACAACATCGTTACGCCCACACCCACAAAAGATGTGGTACTGCAGCGGGTAAAATGGAAACTTAAAGCTTATCACACAAAACAGAATCGAACGGCAAACCGTAATGGTGGCAGTGAATGCGGTGGCAAATTAGGGAAATTTCGTCGGAATTTTGAAAGATCGTATCAGAGAAATCGGCTAGCGAAAGAGATGAATGATGACAAAGAGACTAGAGGGGAAGGAGATTGCAGAGATCACAGAGAAGGTGAAAAGCACATCACGCAATTGGATAAATATTCAGCGATTGAGAATACCCTTAAAGGTATGGGTTTGGAAAATACCAGCGATGAAGAAGAAGATGATATGGAGATTGGGGTACTAACAGATCCTATTGAGGAGGAAGAAGCAGATAACTCTATGGAGAATCCTAATTCGGAGGATATAATTGATTTAAATAGTTCCATAGAGGATCATGAAAAGAACGGCCATCAAGAAGTAATTAATTTAGATGATTCCATGGAGGTTGTGGAACTTGTAGATTTAACAGAAGAAGAAGATACCCTAGAAGCGGACCAGCGACAATCCCGCAATAAAAAACATTCCTTACATGTTGTCGATGAAGTGTATAATTATATTGAATCCCTCACCGAGGCATGTGAATTCCAGTTACTTCTTGCCACATGTAATGCTGCTTATCCTGCCTCCGATATGGATCAGGAAATTTCACAGGATCTGCATGCTATTGAAAATTCAATTTATGATTTTGCAACAATGCTGCATGAAACCTATAGGAAGTTGAATGATATGGAATGTGAACAGAGGTGAGTTAAGAGCTCAGAAGTCAACTAGATTACCTCCTTAAAAAGCCCTGTGCTATATATACAGACCAATTGGTCTTTATAATGAACATTGGTCTCTATACAGCATATATACCAATTATGCTGTATAGAGACCATAACGACCAGAGGTCTCTATACAGATCAACTGGCCTTTATAAAGACCAGAGGTCTCTATACAGACCAATTGGTTTTTTAAAGACCCCAGGGTTCTACAAAGACCAATTGGTCTTTATAAAGACTGCAGATCTCTATAGGGATCAATTGGTCTTTATAAAGATCCCTGGTTCTATATAGATCAATTGGTATTTATGAAGACTGGAGGTCTCTATACAACCCAATTGATCTATATACAGCCCAATTGGTCTATATAAAGACTGGAGGTCACTATATAGACCCGAGGACTCAGTACCGTTCAATTGATCTTTATAAAGACCGAAGGTCTCTAAACAGACTATTTGTCTTTATAAATACCTGATGTCTCTATAAAGACCTCTTCGTCTTTATAAAGACCCGAGGCCTCTATGCAGACCAATTGGTCTTCATAAAACCTGTTGTATAAGACTTCGGATTGGAAATTAATAAAATGTATTTTTCTTCTTCTTCCAGAAAAATTTCGCAAAAGTATATCCTCCCCGGCCACGAAACTTCTGAAATTGTCCTCAAAATCGAAGCCCCCATAATGCCAAAACAAATCATAAAATATCCGGTTAATGAAATTCTACAATATAGCCTTCAAAATTTATGTAGTGAAGAAAGTCCCAGCCCCAGCAATATTGCAATGTCAGAAGGACCACCAGATCCTGCAACAGGTTCACCTGATGCTCACACTCATCAAATCCCTAATTTAAAGGATCAAATTGAGGATCAATCATGCCACAGAAGCACGGTTATAAATCATACTGGCAAATGTCAAGCGGAATTATCCAACAGTGAATCAAGAAGAAGTGGAGATTTTGACCAAGGAATTGCTTCGGAGTTACAAACACCTGGAGTTGTCAAAGAACTAAGAAGAGAAGATTTCAACCATGGGTTACAACCATCTGCCACAGTTGCCTCAACGATGCCCAATGAAAGAACGACATCTAACGAATATCCAAGACCTGAACCACATAGAAGTGATTCTAAAACAGTTATAGAATCCGAAATGGGTAACCATTTTGCATTACGCTATGTTCGTCCATGGAATTTTTCACAATATGATTCAGTCTCAGAGGAGAATACAACTGCAAATTACTCACAAGATCGGGCTCCAGATAACCAACATGAAAGCAATTCGAGTGAAGAGCCCGGGAGATTACCACCACAACCTGACACAATGCTTAGACCCCAATTCAACCAAAATTCAAATGATTGTGAAAGAGTTCGCAATGAAAATTTGGATCAAATTCCACAAAGAAATACCGATATTGACAATCAAAGCCCCTCACATCGAATTATTACACCAAAAATGTCTAATCATACCAAAGAATCTCTGATTTCGGGTTCGGAAAATGCGAGAAATATACAAAAGGAAAAATCGCAAACAAGAAATTCAATATCCCTTACCAATTCCAATTCACAAGCTGATCCTGCCCATACCTCTATAAATGTGCCGAATTTACAAAACCTGGAGAGAATCCATCCCAATTTTACAAATAATGTGTCTGAATCAACCCAAGATCGGATTAATACACAAATCAGAAAATCCTCGAAATGCAAAGACAAACCATTGCCCTAAAAAGAGATCTTGTAGGGAGTTCTCTAACCTCCAGGAAGGTGAAAATTCTACCCAAATTAACCACCCCACAAAGTCAAATTCAAAAAAGAAAAGGCAAAAGAGTTCGGAAGAAGTTCTTCAAAGAGATATTTCGAGTACACCTCTCAATAATGACAAAGAAACAGCAACAACAAGAAGAACGCCTAATAATTACCCCAATCAAAAGTCAGATGGTACCTTAACTCCTGCTCCTCCCAATCATTGTAATAAGTTGGCCACCAATCCTGCCATCACCTTGAACAATCCTAACCAAAGAGGCCAACAAATGATATCTCATTCCCACCAAAACCAACATTTTGCCAATGATCTGCAAAGTAATCCATCTGCCTTAAGAAAGAATAACCCTCAAACAAGATGCAAACAAATTGTATCCCCTTCCCGACAAAATCAAGTGGCTGTGGATCTTCAAATAAATTCACCTCCATTACTTTCCACAATCCCTACAATACAACAGTCACCTGCGTTACCCTCCACAAATCAGGCTAATCATCCTGCTATCACACTGAATAATCCTAACCAAAGAGGCCAAGAAATTGCCACCCTTTCCCACCAAAACCAACATTTTGATCCTCAAAGAAATTCACCTGCTGATCGTGAAAGGAATCAACCTGCCGTTCTACAGAATAACGCCCAAACAAGAGGCGACCAAATAACCACCCCTTCCCGCCAAAATCATGTGGCTGCGGATCTTCAAATAAATCCGCCTCCAATATTTTCCACACCTCCTACAAAACAACAGTCACCAGCGTTACCCTCCACCGATCGGTCAACTAACATTTCTACTTCCCATTATCCTCCCAGGAAATCTACGGAACATAACCCCGCAAACAGTATTCCAAGAGATCCGCAGCAGTACCTGAAACTCAATAACAATTCTTGTTTGGCAACAATTTCCCCTACTGGGAATTCAGCACCACATTCCTTTAATACAAATCACCGAGAAGAATTATCGAGAAGTCATGCCAATCCTCCCGCCCCACCTCCTAGTTATAACCCATTAACTCAAAAAATAACCAGGACTGTTGACCCACCACCTTATCCACAACAAAACAAGCCACATTTAATTCCGCCACATCAGCATCATCAAAACTATAACCCACCATTAAGAAGCCAATTTCCCGCACCAGAACACCTTCAGGCCCCTTGGGGATTTTCACAGTATCCTCATCATAATGATCCGAATGACAAAATTCCCACACCGCCCACACATTTTCAATTTTCTGCAAATCAAATGACGCAACATTCCCGACCTCCATATTTTCATGGAGCTGCACCTCATCAGGAAAACCAAGGTTTCACAAATTATCCACCGCCTTTGCCAATGCCAGTACAAAATTTGCCAAGTCCCACACAACCACAACCACTCCCTCCCCAACCCTCACATTATGGTCCATCTACTTCCCAATTACCGCCACCAGCAGCACCACCACAAATGATAACTCCCTTACAACCTCCGTTGCCATTCCATGTGAATAGTCATCTATCACCTCTCTTGACCCCGCCCCAATCTTCAGAGCGCCAATTGTCTCCGCTATTCCCTCTTGGACCATATAATGCAAGTTTTAGTGGCCCGACAATGTCAGTACCTATGACCCCTCCCTCAGAGGGTGATATTTTAAATCAGAATTCCCCATTTATTCCTCCTTTTGTGGGAACCTATAATAACCACCTCCCAGATGGTGGGTATTCTCATCCATCGTGGCTGGGAAATTTTAATACACCACTACCGTATATGTTTCAGAAGTGACAAATTTGAGAAATATCAAAATTTTGCCTTAGAAAACTGTGATCTATAAACCAGCATCTGAACAGAGAACCAATATTTGGACCTTTTTCACAAAAGTTGATCTCCCAGAGCACGGATGAGAATTTACCCAAGGCTTATTTAAAACCTAAAGTCGGAGGTTTTGTGGGCCTCTCAACGCTGATTTAAAACCTGATTTAAGGCCAAAGACCTTTGTAGGCTTAATACTTTATTGTCGAAGTATGTAAGTCGTCTCCATACAATTTGTATAATATTTTATTGCATGTAAACATATCATCATTTATGGCAATATTTTATCTATTTTTTTAGGTTAGAAAGTGTACAAAATTTGTATTAACGATAATTAATAATTTTAAGTAATAATGTAAACAATTTGTTATTATTAAAATAAATAAAAAATAAAATAACTTTAAATGAATGACTCAATGCATTTCTGGCAAAGGAGGAAGATAAACACACAAAAAACTAAAGCATACTTCTAGGCGCTTTCAATAATGGGCACAACAAATTGTTACAGCAAAAGGAAATTAACATACACACTGTGTTCGGCCTAAAAGTATGCTAACATTTTCGACACAACTGCCATTATGACAGAAAAATTGCCCTTTTTAAGAATTGCATTTTTGTGTGGTTTTTCATTTTCAGGTAATAGGCGACCAGCACCGAACAGTAAGCGTATTTCCGGGCATCGTTGAATTAAAATGCTAATAACTCAGCAACCGCTTAACCGATTTTCAAAAAATTTGCAGCAATGGTTAGAGGGAATTTTAAAGTTTTATTGCATACAGACAAGACACATATATACTTACGTTATATAGGAGAAATTTAGCATTATGTGAAAGTTTAAATAACTCGCGAAGGGGGTGACCGATTTCATTGAAACTTTGTAATATTGGTAATATTTCTTCTAAACTTAAATCAGGTTCAAAAATGGAACCCATCGGTCCACTCCTTCTGGTAAAAATTGTCAAAATGTTGTGGAAAATAAATTTTGTAAATCATGCGAACGGGTTATCCGATTTAAACCAAACTTTGCATATCGTAATATTTTTACCAAACCTAGATTAAGACCGAAGATGGGACTCATTGGTTAACACTTTCTGGTACCTCCCCCACAAAGGGTCAACATTTTCAATATTTTCAAATTCAGTGGAGTGTCCGATTTGATCCAAACACTGCACATCGTCTTATTTTTACCCATTCTAAATCAAGTTCAAAGATGGGACCCATCGCTTCACTTTTTCTAGTACCTCCCCCACAAAGGGCCAAAATTTTGGAAAATTTGTTAATTCAATAGTAAACAAATGGAATGTCCGATTTCACCCAAACTTTGCAAATCGTAATAATACCTTTTTCCAAACCTATATCAAGTGCGAAAGCGTTAAAAATTTTCAATTTTTATAAATCCAATAATAAGCGAATGGAATGTCCTATTTGATCCACACTTTGCCAATTGTAATACTTTTCCAAACCTAGATCGTATCTGATGATGGGACCCATCAGTTCACTCCTTCTAGTTCCTCCCCTACAAAGCGTTAAAAGTTTTCAATTTTTATAAATCCAATATTAAGGGAATGGAATGTCCGATTTCACCCAAAATTTGCAAATCGTAATATTTTAACCAATCCTAGATTAAGACCAAAAATGGGACCCATCGGTCCATTGTAACTGGTACCTCCCCCACGAAGGTTCAAAATTTTGAAAATTTGTTAATCCAATAACAATCGTATGTAATGTCCGATTGGACCCAAACTTTGCAAATCGTAATACTTTTACCAATCCTAGATTAAGTCCGAAGTTGAGACGCATCGGTCCACTCCTTCTAGTACCTCCCCCACAAAGGGTCAAAATTTCGAATATTTGTTAATTCAATATCAAACGAATGGAATGTCCGATTTCACCCAAACTTTGCAAATCGTAATATTTTTTCCAAACCTAGATCATATCCGATGATCGGACCCATCGGTCCAATTCATCTGGTACCTCCCCAGAAACTTTCTAATATATATTTCGATGAAACTACTTTTTGTAGTACCTCATTTCATATAATATATACAACTTATAAAAGGGAACAATAAAACCAGTGTTCAGTAATAACGTAGACCTCCGCAACCCATAGGATGGGGGTATATATCCGGTCGGCAAAACGGACTGACACGTTTTTATATTTCCCAATTCGAGTTTGGATAGTAAACTTTTTTGACCTGGAAGTTAACTATGATTCCTACTAAGATAATACATTTAAAATACCGAAAATCGGGCCAGGTAGAACTTGACCATGACTTTTGAGGCTATAGTAATTTTATCATTGTATAGAAAATATCCCTACGAAAAATAATATAGATGTGTACACTTTTTGGTGCAGCCCTACATCAATCCAATTTTTGGTATAGCCTCCATATATATAAATACTCTAAATATTCCGTATTTAAGAGATATTGCAGAAGTTCTGTTTAATACAAAATATCACGGAGATTTGGATCTACTATGTTATATTCAATGTTGAATTCAAGTTTTTGAGGCTATAGTAAATTTATGTGTTTGGAATATAGATAACAGAAAAATTGTAGATAAATCCCTTTTAATTTCATATTCTTCCCTTACCATTACAACTTTTTTTTATTAAAATATAAATTTAAAAAAGATATATTTTTTGTAATAATATTTATGATTTATTTTTCTTTTATTTTATTTTTTTGAATATTTCACTTTTTTGTTTGTTTTGTGTTTGTTATTTTTCAGTTGTTTCTCCATATCTATATTTTATATGTATTTATGTATGTATATAATAATAATAGTATGTATGTACTAGCATTATAAAGTACGAAAAAAAAAATCTATTCATATATAAATTAATTTCAATTACAACAGAAAATCGAAACAAAAAACACACACATAAAAAATGAATGAAAAAAATAAGAAGTTTAAATAAAAAAATCAATAATAATAATAATTGTAAAATAAACTATGTTTAAATATTGCAACATAAATTTAAATTTGAGAAATACACACAATTCACTTAAATAACAAAATGAAAAATAGTATATATAAAGAGTATATAAAATAGAGAAAAAAACATAGACATATAAATAAGAAAATGTGTGAAAAAAATATATATAAAACAATGAAAAATTAGAAATCAAATTTTTTCTTGATACCAAAAATAAAGTTAATGTTATGAATATGTTATTTCGTTTTTGCCTTGTTGTTTTTTGTTGTTACATCTAAATTCAAATCATGTTTTAATTTATATTTTTTATGTGGGGGGACTATTTTTTTTTTTAATTTCAACTTTTTATTTATTTTTAAAGTTGTCGTTTTCTTTTTGAATTTTTGTTCATGTTTAAATAATATTTTTCTTTCTTTCAAATCTCCTTCTTCTTCTTCTTCATACTTATTAAATAAATACATAACTCCAAGGAAGGAATTTAGTTGCTAATAAAAAAATGTGGGGGAGGGGAAAATTTCCAATTTTAATTTCCAAGAAGACTTTTTTTCTGTTTCATTGCCTTAAAACAGTTTAAAGAATACTTGAGAATTTTTTAAAACAAAGGAAAAACTGTATTGAAATTTAAATATATTTACATGCTGGTAACAGTGGTTGTCCAGTTTTTTTATTGTTTTCTTTTTCCTTCATTCTCTTATCTTTTTCCTCTGCCTTTTAATTTCTATGCTAGAGAAACTAATTTTGCCAAGAGAAAACATAATTATGTTTTGTTTACTAATTATAATAATAGTAATAATGATAATGATAATTTATATATATGTGTGTATATAAATATAAAAATTAAAACATTCTACTACAAATAGAGTAAGACATAAAATTAATTAATGTTTTATGCTCAGTTGAATGGTGATGATGAAATGAATCACATTACAGAAATCATTTGTTTAATTTTTTGTTGTCATCTCTTTTTTTCTTCTAATTTCTGCTTTATATTTTTTTCTGATGTTTTGCTAATTTTTTATTTGGGGAGAGAAGGGGGTCGCGATTTCCTCTCTTTTCTGGGTTTCTTAAACATAATCAAATTTTGATGCATTTGTATTAAATTTGTGTCTCCGTGTTACGTTTTCGGTTGTTTTTGTTGTTGTTTTTCTTTCCAAAATAATAAAAACTCAAAACATCGTTTACGAATTTTCATCGGTAACATAAATATAACCTTGTTGCTGCAGAATATTTAAGCGTTTTTCCACAGCATCACGATCTGTAAAATAAAAAATGGAAATTAAAAAAAAATTAATTGAAAAATATTCTTTAAGAAATCTAGGCCTCTATAGGAGCTTGAAAAAATATTCTTTATGAAATCTAGGCCTCTATAGGAGCTTGAAAAAATATTCTTTAAGAAATCTACGCCTCTATAGGAGCTTGAAAATATTATTTAAGAAATCTACGCCTCTGTAGGAGCTTGAAAATATTCTTTAAGCAAACTAGGCCTCTATAGGAGCTTAAAAAAATATTCTTTAAGAAATCTACGCCTCTATAGGAGCTTGAACATATTCTTTAAGAAATCTACGCCTCTATAGGAGCATGCAAATATATTCTGTTAGAAATCTACGGCTCTGTAAGAACAATGGTATCGATTTCGATTTCGGACACAATTCATTGTAATTTTTTTATTTTTGGTTCTCAACCAGTAGCAAATGTCTCTACAAAAAACAATCAGTATCGGCCGAACTATTAGAAAATCTCCATTGAACTGCACAATTCTTTTTTGTTATTTAGATGATTTTAAAGACATTTTCCAACAGAATTCACTGTAATTTGATATTTTGAATTATCGTTAAGAAGAAAAATCTCCCTATCAAATATTAACTATATCGGTCCACTTTTTGATAATAGCCCCCATTGAACGGCATATTCTAAATTTCGATATTTTAAGGTTTTGGAACATTTTTCTGAAAAAATGTACGCCTCTATAGGAGCTTGAAAACATACTCTTTAATAAATCTACCCATCCTTAGGAGCTTGAAACAGTATTCTTTAAATAAAAATCTACGTCTCTGAAGGAACTGGATATTCTTTAAGAAATCTACACCTCTGTGGGAGCTTGAAAAATATTATTTAAAAAGTATACGCCTCTTTAGGAGCTTGAAACTATTAAAAAAATTAATTGCATTACAGCATAGTTCCCCCTATTTTAATTCCTTCTGTTATTTTCTAATATCTCGCCCCTTAGAAATTTTGGCGGATATTCTTCTGGTCCGGTCTACTTACATTTATTTAAAAGCATTTTATCTTGTGGATGATTACATTTCTGGACCAACGAATGTAAAAGAATGTGAGCGGTATTGTAGCGTTCAAAACAATTTTTGGTATTACTCAGCAGTTCATCCAAGGCTGCTGCTTGACACTGGAAAAAATAAAACAAGATATTTAATAAAAAATCATATATCGAAAGTTAAGTCCATTAAGTTCCTTACCATATCTAAAGCATAATCATATAAAATCTTATCTGCGGTAATATTAAATGCATTGGCTTTTTGCAAGAGACCAGTGCCATTTAATTTCTTCGATTCAAATAAAATGCTGCGATATTTGGAGTTCATGGTAAGCAAAGCTGTAAAAGAAACAACCAAAAAAAATTAATTAATAACATTATCATCCTCCCTGGAAATTCTATCTTCTCGCTTACCATTTTTAACATTCGATGAAGGTTTCAAATTGCCACTTCTCAGTTGTTGTGAGGCCAAGTTCAGACCCGATGATAGCAGCTGCAAAGCCCTCACCAACAACACTAAACGTTCCGCTCTCTTACAATGTTCTGGGGCATGCGGTGGGATTTGTGGTTGATCATTGGAGGCGGCCGCCATCAATGCTGACAGCGGTGCACATCGAGAATCGGCCACTTCTTGTATACAATCGGTTAGAGCCAAAACAAAATTCAATTTCGATAGAGTTTCATTGTGTTCACGATCCATTAGAGTCTCCTCTGACAGTTCGGGGGCATGGAATGCATGCAAATGATGATGGACATCGGATGCGTTGCCACCAACACCGCCAGCGGCATTTGTATCCAAGAGACTTTGTAGACCACCGGTGGCCCCCAGTTCGGGTAGTGTGAATGCACGTGGTCCCAACATGGGATGTTGATTGTTATTCTCCGATGATGATCCATTACCGGAGCCGAGAGATCCCACCGAACCGGGTGCCACCATCAAGGTGGGACTGCCCAATGTGGGTAGCTTAGTTAATGCGGACGGAAGCACGGGTGAACTATGTCCGGAGCGTCTGAGTGGCGATTGGGTTTGTCCCCCAGGACTCACCTGCCAAGTGCATGGCGCCGATGGGGGTGGTGTTTCCGAAAGGGAACCTCCCGATGTGGATCGGTGACGTCCTTGTGGTGGTGTGCCAATGGCAAATTGTACAGCCGGTGGTGATATGGAATTGATATCACTACTGACACTGCTCTTGCGATGATCAGGTCTCTGCTTTACACTAATTGGCTGAGAGCGTGGTATGGGTTGGGCCGCCGATGCTGCAGGTGCAGTTGTGGAGAGCTTGGGTGACGAAATTTGATCACTTTCGGCCCGATAGCGTACATGATTCTTATCTATGGGTGAGGTTCCCGGAGCTGTTGTTGCCGCCACATTTGTTGGATTATTCGCCGAGTAACGACGCACTGGAGCCGGCACCGGCTTGGGTTCGGAAATTGGTAAAGTGCTGGGTCTTGGAGGACTTGATTGATTTTGACCAACGGCATTTTTATCTGCTGTCGTCTGTTGTTTGTTGGAATGTCTAAAAAAGGAGAGAGTGATTAGTATATTTATAAGAAAGAGATGGGGAGAGAGAATGCGATACTTACTTCTTTTCATAGTCTTTAACATTTTGATCTTCTGGAAGATTTTTGGGTACCAATACGAAATCATCCGAATCCTCATGAGATCCCGATGAATCTTCGGTATTATTTTCACTTTCGCATAAAATGCCGACATTTGTAATGGTGGCACATATGGCGGGGTTTTCAACTACAGAAACTGCAAATAAAAGAAGAATAATCGTTGAAAAAGATATTCTTTAAAAATCTACACCTGTATAGGGCCTTGTAAAAATATTCTTTAAGAAATCTACGCCTTTTAGGAGCTTCACAAAATATACTTTAAGAAATCTACGAGCTTGAAAAAATATTCTTTAAAAAATCTATGGCTCTTTAGGAGGGCTTGACAAAATATTCTTTAAGAAATCTACGCCTCTTTAGGAGTTTGAAAAAATATTCTTTAAGAAATCGATGACTCTTTAGGAGATTGAAAAAGTATTCTTTAAGAAATCTACGCCTCTGTAGGAGCTTAAAAAAATATTCTCTAAGAAATCTATGCCTCTGTAGGAGCTTCAACAAATATTCTCTAAGAAATCTATGCCTCTATAGGAGCTTGAAAAAATATTCTATAAGAAATCTATGCATCTGTAGGAGCTTGAAAAAACATTATTTAAGAAATCTGCGCCTCTTTAGGAGCTTCAACAAATATTCTTTAAGAAATCTACGTCTCTCTAGGAGCTTGAAAAAATATCCTTTAAAAATCCACGCCTCTGTAGGACCTTGAAAAAATATTCTTTAAAAATCCACGCCTCTGTAGGACCTTGAAAAATATTCTTTTAGAAATCCACGCCTCTGTAGGACCTTGAAAAATTATTCCTTTTTTATTAAGATAGCCCGTTTTTTTAATTTCACCACAGAGTTTATCGACCCCTTACCAGCATTTTCATCTTGCAAATCCTCATCGGCATCGGAACGTTGATGTTGTAGCTGGTGTTTTTGCTGCTGCTGTTTCTGTTGCTGTAACTGTTGTTGTAAATGTTGTTGCTGCTGCTGTTGTTGTTGTTCAAGCTGTTGCTGTAATGGACTTTTCGCTTTGGTAGGTGGTGTGGTGCCCATAGCCAATGAAGCTGGTATATCCGCTGGAAAATAAAAAAACATTTCAAAATAATTAAAAACATTTTGAGCAGCAATTCCTTACCTGGTGATGTGGCCGCTTTTTTGCCCTGCAAGAAACGATGATTGAAAAAACTTTCAAATGAAATTCTGTCCTTGGCATTGCGCCGCAACAGGCACAATAACAAATCACGTAATTCGGGTGACACTCCGTTGGGTATTCTAGATTAAGAAGAACAACGAAAAACAACAACAAGAGAGAAAACAAAACAAGACGTCAAAAAATAAATACAAACAAATTCAAAATAAACAACAACAAGAAAACAATCTGATGAATGAATGAATAATTTCGCATTTTAAATCATTATTTTTAGCCCAGGAAAAAAATGATTTCTGTGGCGGGCAGTGGGCAGGGTATTCATTTATGTTGCTACTAGGTACAATGATTGAGTAGAAACATATGTAGCTAGCTAGTATGAAAAGTATAATGTGGGAGGTGTAGGGGTTTGGTCCGTTTGACTTACTTAGGTGCTAAATTGGCATTTTGTTCATAATAGAATTTCAATTCATTTGGTGTTTGTGCATAGAATGGCGCCTTGCCCGTTAAACATTGATAGACAATGGTACCCAATGACCACAAATCGGCCTTAGCATCATATTGCAATGACATTATCACCTCGGGAGCCTAAAGGAAATGTAAAAAACAACAATTATATTATTAATAAATAGTATTTATTAAAACAAAAGACGCCATCGAAACTTACCATATACATGGGAGAACCACATAAGGTGGCAGCCATAACGCCTTCATTAAGGAAACGAGCAAAACCAAAATCAGCTGCAATTGAAATGGGAGAGAGAGAGCGAAATTCCATTTAGAAAGATTTGAATTAAATATTTCTAAAATTCTTGTCATATACACTGGGCGACAAAAATATAATTGTATACAATTATAAAAAAATTATGATACAAATACTTAAAATAACCACAAAACGTAAGAAAACGTGAAAAATATTCTTTAAAATTTCACTCCTTTGAAAAAATATTCTCTATAAAATTCACGCCTTTGAAAAAATATTCTCTATAAAATTCACGCCTTTGAAAAAATATTCTCTATAAAATTCACGCCTTTGAAAAAATATTCTTTAAAAATCCACGCCTTTGTGGACCTTTGAAAAAATATTCCTTAAAAACCCACATTTGCTTCTTCTGTCCATAGAATACCTGCGTCGTCTCCCATTAAAAGGTCTAAGATAATTTGTTCTTCTATCCTAATCTGGCCTTCTGTCATTAGAAGACCTAAGATTTTGGTCATTAGAACTGGTTCTTCCGTCTAAAGGATACCTCGATTTACTGTTTTAAAATACCTGTGTTTTCCGTCAGTAGAAGACCTGTTTATACTATCAATAGAAAATCTGGTTCTTTTGTTTCAAGAAGATTCAGCTCTTCTTTCTGCCTATAGAATAGCTGGATCTACTGTTATATGAAGGACTGGTACACATATTTGCAAGACCTGTTGCAGACCTAATTTCTCTGTCCATAGAATACAAGGATCTTCTCCCATTAGAAGATCTGAGACTTTTGTCATTAGACCTGATTCTTCTGTCCATAGAAAATCTGGGTATTTTGTCCGTGGAAGACCTGAGTTTTTTGTCTAAAGAAGACCTGAATTTTCAGTCATAGAAATGTTGGATTTTTTGTCTTAAAAATACCTGTATTTTTTCTGTTTAAAGAAGACTTGGATCCTCTATCGATAAAATATATGGATCTTATGTCAATAGTCCTGGTTCTTCTGTCCATAGAAAATTTAGGTATTTTTTTGTAGAAGACCTGAGTTGTCCGTCTATATGAGGACTGAATTTTCAGGTTCTTCTGTCCATAGATGACCTGGACTTTTTTTTGCACATGAGACATGAGTATTCCATCCATAGAAGGCATGGCTCTTCTGGATATAGAAATTCTAAGTATTTGGTCTATAGAAGACGTGGGGTCCTTCTGCACATTTTAGAAAGTACTCCTGGATTTCCTTCTGTCTATAGAAGACCATAGATGTTCTGTCTAAAGAAGCTCTGGTTTATCTGTCCATAGAAAATCGGGGTCTTCTGCCTATAAAATACCTGGATTTTTTTCCTGAAGAAGACGTGGATCTTCTGTCTATAGAAAATCGACGTCTTCTGCCCATAGAAGACCTGGCTAGTCTGTCCATAAAATATCTGGGAAAAAATACCTTTTATTGCAAGACCTATGTTTTCTGTACATAGGAAATCTGTCATTCGAAGACCTAAGTTTTATGTATATAGGAGATCGGATCTTCTATCTATAGAAGACATGTGTCTTTATTTTATACACGACATGGGTATTCCTTATAAAGATATTCGTAACGCTGCAGTCTTTGAGCCTTTAAGACGGATTTTTTTTTCGATTTTACCAGTCATTTACAGGTATGAAAAGTCGAATATTAAACATTTATATACGGTTTAACTATTTTAAAAATTTGAAACAAAATTTGTTTACCTATTTTCAATGTTATTTTTGATGGTGCTGGCAGTGTCTTGCCATAATTGTGCGATAATAAAATATTTTGTGGTTTCAGATCACGATGGACAATTCCTTTGGTATATAAAGCTTTCATGGCACCAGCTGCAAAGAGAAAAAATATCAAAATTAATCCATAAATCCGACATTGGGGAATTTCAAAAAACAACTTACCTAATTGGATTAAAAATAATCTAACCGTGTCCTCACTCAGAGTACCCTTGACACTCAGATAATCCGCTAAATCACCGCCATTGCAATACTGAAAATACAACAAAAATGCAAAACAAATTAATATCAAGAAAATATGCAACTTAATAATAAAAATAAATAAATGCATGTTTAGAACAATGTCAAAACAATGAGTTCAGAGTGATCTTCAGCATGCTTAAACAGAATGTCTTTCTTCAAATTAGCTTTTAAGCAAATCATTTTGAACTTGACCTGTAAATCTCAGTCTTTTCAAATTAGAGAGTGGTGTAAATTACACTGCAAGGCATCCATACGTCTGTCTAACCAGCCATTTATCTTCAAGTTGTACAGGAATATCCGATCAGAGTGCATGGTTTTTTTTTTTCAAAAATGTATACTTGAGAACGGATACAATGTCGGAATTTGCATAACCCATTACAAAAAAAAACATAATTTTAAAGCTTTGTAGAAGGCATGTCGACAATTTTATTATCACAAACCGTACTTGCTGCTGCTACTCGTACTGCTCATTGTCAGTAGCAGTTGTGCCTGGCTGGCTGGCTAGCTGACTGACAACTTTCAAGTAGCCAATGACTTGAAAATAAAAAAAAAAAATGTGTCTGGCAAACAAATCCATGGATGTGCTTGCTTGTCGTTCATTCATCCATCCATCCAAGCATTTTGTGGATAAGGCCTGCCCGCCGTCGGTCATTTATGTTAGTTTGTCGTGTTTTTTCTTGTTGTTGTTGTGTGGAACAAATTTGTCTGTTGTATCCGCGAATAAATTAAAATACGTCTCATATAAATTGAGAATGATTACGATTATGATGCGATGCGATGATGGCGGTCGGTCGGTGACAGTTCAACTTGAAAATTTCTTGTTGTTGTTTTTGTTATTATTATGTTTTTGCCATTTATGTGTACATAATCTACACTTATTGATTTTTATATTAGTCGGATATATATGAGCTTGTGGTTTATAATGGGTGAGGACAAAAAGGGCCTTTTTAGGCTCCTTTTGAATTTTTTAATTTTTAAGCCTATATAAGTCATGATTCTCCTATTTATTGAAGATCTTCAGTTTTGTAGTCAGGGTCTGTCTATGGAACACCTGGATTTTCTGTCCAAGATATATCTGGATGTTCTGACTAATAAAGAACTGGTTTTTCTGTGGTTGAGAAGACCCCGATGTCTGTAGAAGACCTGGAGAAAAACAGGGTATTCCAGTCCCGTCTATAGAAGACATGTAGGTCGATTCAGTAACTTATAACGATCCGACAATCGACAATTTTGTCTACACATAAAATCGTTTGCAGTAACGAAAATGTTATTCTGTAAAAATGTAGACAAATTGTCAATAAACTTTCAAAAAGCTTTTATTTTTGAACATTTTAAAAACAAAATACATACAAATTCAGAACAAAACAAGGCATGTTCAGTATTGAAAAATATTTGTCGATAAGTTAACTTCGAATATTTTGGTGTTGTTTATTAACAATATTTTTAACAACTGTTGTTAAACACTGTTATAGAATTGAAATATTGTTTATTTTGTCGTTATAATATTTAATCGATTTGAGAATTGTTTAAATTTGATAGTGAATCGACCCACTGATATGTCTTTCTACAGAATAACTAGGCCATCTGTATAAAAAGACTACGATAAGAAGACTTGGTTATTCTACTGTAGAATAACTGAAATTTCCCCCCTAAGACAGTCTGGGTCTTCTGTCTATAAAATACATAGGTCAGAAGATTCTGGATGTAGAGACTGGGATATTTTTTCTTTAGAAGACCAGGTTCTGTTCATTGAAGACCTGCATCTTCTGTCAATAGAAGACCTGGATTTTCTGTACATTGAAAATATGCAGGGTAATCAATCGACAGCAGTCCCGTCCATAGAAGACCTGAGCCTGAGTCTTTCTATAGAACAACTAAGCCTTCTGTCTTAAGAAGACTTGGTTCTTCTGTCTATAAAATACATAGGTCAGAAGAAGGTCCTAGATTAGAACACTTGGATTTCCTGTACATTGAACATATGCAAGACATTCTATCGAAAGCAGTCCCGTCCATAGAAGACCTGGACGTCTAAGAATGCCTGGGGGTCTTCTGTATGTCTATAAAAACATGGTTGGATTTTCTGTTCTAGAAGACCTGGTTCATTTGTCCAGAGATTAGATTAGGGCCTTCTGTCATAAGAAGGCCTCAGACTTTTGTCAGTCCATCTGGCTTTTCTTTTTATCGAAAAAGCTGGATCTTCTCTTCACAGAATACTTGGATCTTCTGTTCATAGGGAAGATTTGGTCTTCAAAGGACCTGGATATTCATCTGTCTCCAATATTCATGGATGTTCTGTGGGTCTTCCATGCAAAAAATTCCGTAAAGCTTATGGCTGTCGCCTTTTAAGTGGGCAATAACCTTTATCCCCTCATTAACCACAGCATGCAAGTGCATTCCGAATTAAACATGATAACAAATGGTTTCGGGTTACAAGAAATCACACATCCGAAAATAAATGAAATGTTTTCTTATCGAAGTTTAGGTACTAAAAATAAACTGAATATGAATTTTTCAAAATTATTACAAAAAAAAAAAGTCATTAACTTTGGCCGGGTTGAAGAGGCTTTTTGATTCTCTGAAAAAATAAAATACCAAATTACGGTTACTAAGGTCGAAAAAATCGCATAAGGCTTGTATCCAATTTTCAATTCCAATCATCACTTGAAGTACATATTAGCAACATATGATAATTCCAAAGTTCAATCTTAATCAATGCGAGCTATGTCCTTATTTGAAGCGACAGACAGGAAAAGTGAAATTACTATGTTATCTTTATGGAGTCTCCGACAAATATTTCGAGCTGGTGTGGATGAAAATAAAACGGATTGTTGGCCTATAGAATTTTCTACGGTCAAAATTCGTTGACTTCTGCTCTCGATAATTAAATATATTGCTAATTAACTTCAACAACTAACCCCCTTTCCGCTTAATTCAACCCTTTAGACACGGTTTACACTGATACAATTAAATAGCTTTAGTGTTGAATTTATTTGCTATGATGACCCACACATCAACAATTCAAATAAGACTTTTGGAGAAATTACCTTTTTACCGGAAGTGCCATTGACCCATTGCCTAATTTCGAATGAAATTCCAAACATATGGGCATTTCCACAGCCCACCAATTGGAAAGCATTGTATACCAATTTAGTTTTTTGTTCTCATATTTCAATTATGCAATTGTTTTCTGTTTACAAACACACACACAAATAATTACTGTTATTTTGGGTAATAAAAAGGTTGTATTTTTTTGTTTGGTATTCATACTTTTGTGTGATGATTTGCAAACGACTGAGCGAAAGTTGGGTAGAGGTAAGGTAAACTGAGTTGGCGGACATTTTCTCTGTTTGAAAACAATTATTGTTTATTTGTCATACATTTACAACTGAACAGACCTATTGTGAAGGTAAATATCCCTACATCCGTCAATTCGATAACCAATACATTTCAATTCAAATACACCTCTCTTAATTGTGAAATTTATTCGTTAATACGGTAAATACACAGCTCTCTTTACTAAACTCTGTAAATCCACATCAGGCAAAACCTCGCACGCGTGCTCTCTTGTGAACGTAAATAACGGCATACTCTCATGCACATTCAATTGAAACAACCGAAGACCCATTGACACACACATATTGTTATTCTCTGTCCGATCTGCTGTAAACCGTTCTTTATATTGATCTCTCTCCCTCGTGTCTCCCATGCTAATTATCAACCTGAGAAAGAAAAAAGACAACAACAATTACCTTATCAATGATAATCATGTCAATGACTTTTCTCGATTGCTGGCACTATTAATGTTATTGTTTTTTGTTATTGTTGTTGTAATGGGACCAGACTGTCTATGTTCGTACGCCTATCTCAGAAGAACAAAAAAAAAAACAGTTGGTCATTTTGTTTCAAAAAATTGATGCAATTGATGTGCAGCAGCAACAGCATTTGTTTTCAAACAAAAGAACCGCAACAACAATAACAATAAAAGCCCCATCGTCACAACAAAAACAAAACAACCCATGGCTGACCCCTTCTCACCAATCCACTGATCTATCCATTCATACAAATATTCTCTTCCATCACATCGGAAGTCAATTGATTAAAAAGAACAACAACAAAAATAACCATTACCAGAACAATAAAACAAAAAAAAATAAGACGAACTAAAGTCATACCAGGGAGATAATCGGACATGAAGAAGATGAAACAAAGTGGACAACGAGTGAGCCATGGACGACGGCACAATTATCCGAAGAAGGAAAAATCGAAGCACATTCGAGAGAAAGGCAAAATAATAAATGAGATTAATATTACTCCAAGAAACATTTATCATCGATTATTTGTTGTTGTTATTAATCTTGTTTAACAACAACAAAAAAGGAAACCGATTGATTTTGTTAGAGGGGAAACGAACACTTGTAATAAGAAGACGTTTCATGACAACCATAGCAAAAGGAGAGCATCTATTTTTGGTGAGTGAGTGACAAGGTTATCAACAAATTGTTGCATTGCGAAGTGTGTGAGAGATATTTATGGAGCAAGGGAGAGAGCGAAAGAGTTCATGTTCAAGTGAGTAGTTGTTGCCTGACATCTCAATAAACGATAAGCAGGTTTCTTTGAGGCTCATATTTCTTTGTCGCGCCGTTGTTCAACATGAGAAAAAAAGAAATAAAAAGCAAAATATGGGGTGTTCCATAAAAAAGGAATTCAATCAGGTTATTTATAAACAAAATATAATATAACATATTGAATAGAAATTTCAAACATAATCATGCTTTATATTGTTCGAAAAGAGGTACAGTAGTTTTGACTTACCTGCACAAACAACGCTTGCAATTATTTCTGTGCAGGAAAGTCAAAAGTGCGCTTAAACAAAATATTTGAAAGGGAATCTAGAGTACCAAAGAAGTGTATTTTGGGCAGCTAAATCCAAAGTGCTGCTATGTACAAGGCAGCTAAATCAAAACTACTGTATAAGGATTTCAAAGCAAAAAAAAAACGGAGGGCTGACAA